TATTCTTTCTGAATATAACTTTGCAATACACTTAATTTCCACAGTCACGCTATAACAAACGCTATAAATTAAAACGAACGACTCAGTCTCTCTCTGTCTGCAGTTCGGTTACATTACATTACATTGTTGCCGTCACTTCTTACCGGTCTTATATATATAAGAATACCGCATATCTAGTAACCTCTCGAGACTTCAGGAAGGGACGTGAACGTTCAAGAATATGATGTGTTACTAGCGTCACGTGACCCCCGCTGTCGTAACAATAAGACAAATTAAACTCAATAGTTATACATATTGCTATGTGTTAATTCTTTCCTGTGCTATCTTGTAAGCAATATTTTTGATTTTTTAATGCATATGTTAGCTGATGTTAAGTTAGGAATAGAAAGCCAAGAAAATCCTAAGCTGACATCATTGTTTTTCTCATACACTCAAAGCTAGAATATTTTTACGACAGTGGAAGTCACGTGATGCTGGCACATGCATGACTGAGTTTCTCGAATTATCGGGGAAGTTCCCGAATTTTGGAGATGCCTCTTTGCTAGTATATAAGCCTGGCAAAAAAAAGCCAGGGGATGGTTAAGCAAACAGTAGTCACGGTGAGTTTTTGGGTAATTTACGATTCTCTTTCAAGCTAGTGTGTGTGTTTTGCACTCGTAGAGAGCAAAGTTATCAAGATTGTGAGTTGCTGTGATTTATAACGCGTACTATAAAAGTTGTTAGGTTTAGAGTGACGAGAACCATACTGACTGTGGAATTACTATGTACTAAAAGTTGTAAGGAGAAAGAATAAACTGGTTTAATCATGAAAGGACTTGTATCGCTAAAGTTCCTCAGAAAGATTTTCTAACGGAAATTAACAAACAAGCATATACGTAACAAATTGGTGTCAGAGAGTGGGATGAAAAAGAAAAAGAAAAGAAGATGGAAACGAAAAGTGGCAAACCAAACTAATGCAACTTTACTGTAAGATGTTTTTATACATAAACAGATAAAAATAGGCAAAATAAGCATTACATACCAATAAATTAGAAACATTCAAAGAACTCTACTACAATGACTGTAGAGCTCACAAGATGCCATTTTGGTCACTTTTATAATATGGAATGAAACGAGATACTGTATTTTCTGTAGTTTGTTTTTGTAAGTCATATTAATGTTTTCTAAACCAGATGTCAAGTTGTCATACATTTAGGCTTTTATCAGTAGCAGGATAACAAATGCCAATTCTTAATGTAAGAAATACAATCCTTTCTCCCTCATCTCTTGCTGCTAGGATCAAAATAGTATCCTACAATTAATTTTGGATTGTGCAGCAAGCTTCCATCTTCTTGTAGTAGTTTAGGGACAATTATATGAACTGCTAGCATAGTGCTGCACCAATCAGAGTTCAAAGTGTTAACTAATGCAGATAGATGATGCTCATTACAGTATCCAAAATAACTCAACTTATATGACATCTATACTGCCTATAAATACAATATCTGTACAATTCAACTTGTTCTGTCTGTTTCCTTGCAACTTGTTTTTTCTATCCTTACAGACAATACAAGGAGAAGTAAGCTCCACAATAAATCTGGTCCTTAGGATAAGGTAAGCCCTGTGTACAAAGAAGAAGAATACCTTTCCTAATATGTGTGTGTGTATATATATATATATGAGACAAATGCAAGGAAGTACCCACCAGAGAAGTGAAAAAATAGTGATTAAGTTTATCTTCCTTCAGTATATGGTTATTTTTTGTGTCATAGTTACACACAGAAAATACATCTTTTGAAGCATTGACAATAGGAAAATACACTCTACAATAAAGAAGAATCAACCACTCAAACATAGATATGATTGAGCATTTGTAGAAAATATCATTTACCAGTTCCAAGATTTCTTTCATATATATATATTTTTAAGAAAGTAATAACTAATATAATCACTATACTGTTGTTAGAGATTTTGCTAGCACCACAGGCTGGAGTATAGCTATAAACATAATCCATCTTCTCAGAGTTGAACATTCTCATGGTTCCAGCAATAACAGAAATTTACATAAACATTTAACACTTTAGTGGTGTGTAAGCATGTAGTATACGCATATGCATTTAAAAAATCAATCCAGTGCTGAAATGTAGCAAAGACAAGATATTGTACTAAGGAACAAACCCCATTGTTTTTGTTGTAAGATATGTCTTAGTTTTAGATATATTTATGAAAGTAGAACTGAGGTATAGCTGTAGGTATACACTATATACAGATTAAACCTCTTGAGATGAAGTAACCCAGCCACTATGTAGGTACAGCTCTTGTAGATATCTCAAGAAATGTAATGTAATTCTCATGTTGTAGTTTATGTCTTGGTATTCTTTATACATATAATGTGGGGGTTACTTAACAGTTATCCAAACACTACAGTGGGAAAGTTGAGTTCTTCCAAAAATTAATTAATTAAAACAACCAACCAATGTTTTTACATACACAATTTAGGCAGTAGTATTTGGGTCACGTGACTAATGACTGTAGTATGGTTTGTACCATGTTTTTGATCTTATACTCTTGAGGATGTTGTGAATGGATGTTGGCAGTCTCAAAATAAAGTTTTTCAATTGTAAAAAATGTTGATTGTTTGATGCTTTAATTATTCATATTTATACAACTATCTTGAAGTTGAACCTTTTAATATTATGAATTAATTAAATTTAGTCTTAAAACTATTGCTACATCAAGCACCATTGATGTGAACAATTATGATGCATGAAAGCTCATTTTATCAAAAAACAGTATACCAACCCCTTGGATTCATTAAACATTTTATGATAAAAATTATACATGCACTAATGTTATTCTACAGTTACGTTATTATGTTAACCCATTAACCACATAGGTTTTCAGAAAGGAGAGTGAAAAAAACTATTAAAATTGCTATCATAAAGGCATATGTGTTTCTTAATTCAGATTTCACCAGTAGAAATAAGTTAGAAAATTAGCTATATTTTGTTAAAACCACAATGTAAATTTAAAGTAAATAGAAAAATTGAGACTATTACTATTATGACACTTCAGTAATTGCAAGATTGATTCATGAATTGCTTACTACAGCTCCTTTTATCCAGTCATCTCGAAATATTTTCTAAATACATAAATCCAGTTAGAAAAATTATCTAATTATTATGAAGCGTTGGAAATAATTACTCTAAGATAAGATATTCTCTTGTTATTTGGCACA